AACGCAGAGCTTTCAGATTCGTATGGCACTTAACCTTCAATTTATTTTGATTCTGAAGAAACATAGATTGTGTTATAACTTTAGAATGAAATTTGTTGGAGTTACATGCGCGCAAGAACGACATTTATAAAATGTTTGCTCTTTAAAAGGATTAAATGGGAGCAGACCGACATTTTTTGACATAACTGGCGTTGCGCGCTTCCTCTCATTTAAGCCTTCAAAATTATGGCGATTCTTCCGACGTGTTTTTTTTCCAAATTGCGGAGGTATGTATATTTATATTTTAATCAAGGGTAGTTTGTAAATAGATGGGGGGCCCATTCGGACTTAAGTGCCCATTTCGGACATTCGGTATGTTTCAAATTTAAAACGATCAAAATTCGGACAATTTCGGTTGGAGGGTTTTTCTCCGGGCGCTCCGGTTTCCCTCCTTTTCGTTCGACTTCAAGAAACAGTGTCCATGTCAGGGGCCAAACTAAGATGACTTTCTTGAGGATAATGTGTACTGTTGATTCAGTAATACATGCTTTTGTAATATGTTTCACATTAATTAATGCAAACAGAAAGACATTCCCAACTTAACCTTATTCCGCAAGATTGTTGTATGCTTGGCCTCTGGGTTAAATTCCCAGAACACTGCTATCAAAATTATCGTTATAATATATAACTTTCTGAATCTGTAAGAAACCATTTTTATACTAATTGACTTCATTGTAAATATATATCAATACTATATTCTATATTGTACTTTGTAATTATAATTTTCTACATGGGCGTACCGGAAGGAAAAATTTAGAGGGGGGGCGGAAAGAAATTTGCCCGACTTTTGCGGATTTTGCCCGACAAGTCCCGAAAAAATTTTTTCCGGAATTTATTTTTACGACCTCCCCCCCCCGTCGCCAAAAAAAATTCGGTCCGTGTACCATTTTAGGGGTCAAATATTTTTTTCGGACATACCAAATTTTTCGGAACATAACAAAAATTTTCGAAACATCACAAAATTTACCACAAAATCTACAGAATTTGTCCCATTTATTTTTATAATAAACCAAAATTGCCCGACTGTTGAGCGAATATTGCCCGACTGCCTCCCCCCCGCCCGGTACGCCCATGATATTCTAATAGTTTTTGTGAGGGCCACATAACTAACCAGTATGAATATTTTGACGTCGTTAACTAACCTGTATATATGATTGTTTTGACGTCTTTAACTAACCAGTATGATTGTTTTGCAGTCTCGTACCAGCCTAGGTAGTGGTAAACCGTACATAAATGCTCATGGAAACCTGGTGCGACATGATTCACGTCGTAGTTCGTATGATCATTTCTCTGATACTGAGCAACGGTTACCGGAACCCGAGGTCCCTACTGGAAGATCACATCCAGTTGACATGGAACCTGGACAGTTATCTCGTGTAATACCGATGGTGTTTTACAACCTGATGCAACATCCAGTGATATATACTGCGACCTCCTGATTGCCGTACAGATTGAGAACAAAACAAGGATATATTAATTAAAGGACAAAAGTGCTATAGCGATGTAGTTGCAAAGTAGTATTGTTTCATTCATAAAGACTCTTTTCCACTCGTCACAAAACCAACTTACAAGCCCGCTGTGAGTGCTTGCATCTAAGTGATCGAGGATTGTGATTGGATGAATGCACTCGAGCTTCTAAGTTGGTTAATGCGATGAATGGAAAAGAGGCTTAAAGGTCTGAAGAAAAAGGAAACACTGTTGCGATAAGATCAAAAAATATATTTTTTCGAATATGTTCTGTCTATCCTCCCTTGCAAACATTGTGTGCCTTGGCCACATAGCTGGCATGTTTCCGCAACAGTGATTCCTAGTTTGCCAAGAGTTTCAACACAACAATGCCATATACTAAAGGAGTTTTAAGCATATTTTCAGAATAATACGGTTGATATTCTGACCGGTACCAAGAAAGGTTTAATTGATATGAGGATTTTACTCAGCGAGTTTATTAAAGAAATATACGTATTTTGTACAGTGCCTTATGAGAAGTGATTTTTTAGATTGTAAAATGTATACAGTACCATTCCTGTCTCCAGTACTATGCTGGTCGATAAAAAGAACTTCTGTATTTTGACTTTGTAGGAAATCGTACTGCACACGTGGAGTAGTATTGGGCTCTGCAAGTGACGTCACAACAAGTATTTGCTGATATCCGCCATTTTTCATGGGTGGCAAATTAAAAGTAGTTAATTGAAAGCAAACATGGGGTCAAAGCAAACTGTGGCACTGACTGCGGCTGTCGCTTTTATTCGAATACTTTGAAGAGTTATAATGATCCACAGCTGTGCCCCAAAATGGCGGATTATTTTTGATCATACATCATACTGCAAGACCGGAACACATTTTCCCTTAAGTTCAACCAAGGTTCTAAACATGCCCATGCATGTTAACTACTTGTGTGGGTGGTGTGTTTTTCTTATACCTCACAATCTGACACATGACACATTATTCAATCTTGCTAGCATGTTCATTTGCATTTCATAAAGCTGTTTGACGATTACTTACTTATTTTGGTTGCTCTCGCCCATGCAGACATGCATTTAAGCCCTATAAAGATAGCTTGACTACAATATTACACCAAATACTGTGGTTTGTCTAGGTTGTATATTACTTTTTTGGTGAATGTAAAAAGTGAACTCTTGATAATAATCGAGAATTCGTGCAAAAGCAATCGTGCTGTATTAAACATTATCGACCTTCTTAATGCGGTTTAGCTGAAATATCACTATATAGTAATCCATCGTATCAATTAATGTTTGCCTCTTGCGTTTTCATTCCATTAAGTATCGTTTCAAAGGAAGCAACTGCGCTCAACTTTAAAACTTCCAAATATTCCAAATACACAGCTATAGTAGTCAGTATTCTGAGAGCTACAGTATTACTTGCCATAAAGAGTACTGAGATACTATTATATGCACTACAATAGTGAATCTCGCACCTAATTCAAGTTTGAGGCAGATTATTTTTTAACTATATATAGGGTGTATAAAAAAGAGTAATCGAACTTCAGCGCGCTATTGTATCTGAATTACTATGCGTATGAACGAGATTTTTTCATCTTCGGAACGATCAGGCTTTTAGCTGTTCATGCCAAATGGATAAAAAATAAGCAAGTACAAGTCCGATAAAAAATGCTAGTCGGAATCGCATATTTTCACGTTGAGAACCATTGAAAATTAACCCCCTTCGGTACTTAAGCTGATGAATTTCACTTCAATAAACTACGCACATATTCATAATTATTATTAAGTAGGGTAGTTATACGCACCGAGTGGCGACGTCGATTTGTGTAAAGTTATATGCCTCGTGCCTTGGCTATTGTTTGTTGTGTTGCAGCCTGTAAGAGTCCTGTAGCGGCACGCACAACTTTGACTGGTTTGCAACTGATATGGTATATAAACACAGGTAGTTTCGAATGTAAAATCAGTTCAACGGGGTGACTGTTCGTGAGAGAAGCAAAAGAAGAGACAATTGCAGTTAAAGAACGAGTTGATCTATACTAAAAACACTTGTTGGTGAGTTAGTGAAATAACATACTCCTATTTATTAAACTTTCTGCCTTAAAAGTACAGTGTGTACATGCTATACGTACACTTGCACTAGCAAACCCACATTAATATCGACATTTCTATAGCGCAAATTTATATGCATGTGGATATCATCTAATGCGCTAAATTTACATCAAGTATTACACTTACCTAATTGCTTAACCCAGACTATTTTTTCTTTTACAACAATTGTGATATTACGTTCTCAATTATGTTTATCCCAACCAATCCTGTCAACTTTCTTTGTTTATCCCAATCCACCCTATCAACTAAATGATTTCGTAGCGAGAATCGAACCCACGATCCCACGAACCCAGGAATGCGCTTGCTACCTCTGACGACTACGCCACCGAAGTCCCGTAGAGACGGTTTTCCACTAGGCGAAATTTTTCGACCGAATCGAAATTTTATTTTGTCTTTACAAGCACTGAGATGGAACTAAACAGCAATCTTTTGAATTTGAACAATAGAAATTTAAGTTCGATCGAAAAATTTCGCCTAGTGGGAAACCGCCTTAAATTGCAATCGTCTATACTCTGTCTTGGTATGATACCTTCCTTGAAAGGACTGATACGCTTAGACTAAAAGGTCACCACAATATAGCGTCAATATATGCTGAATTATATACTATGATCGTTTACCAGCAGACAATATATATTTCGCACAATCATAAGATGAAACGAACTCAAGATACGAGCTGTTTAACAAGATAACAAAATCAAAGGTAATATTACACCACCAGTTTCATCCCACAGGGAAAGTTGACAGGGTAGGTTAGGATAAACACAGTTAAGAAAGTAATATCACAATTGTTGTAAAAGATAAAATAGCCTAGGCTAAGTACTATGTAAAAAGCGCGATTTCGAAACGCGTTTTGACAACGTTGATGACGGTAACTTTATGAAACTGATCAAAACAAATTTTAAATTTCAAAATTTAGTGAATGTTGATTGGTTAATACTTCCGTAGTACGCTAAAAAGTTGACTTGCGACGAACTTTTTATTTTGATACGCGAATCAACCGGAAGTACGTAAATTTGAAAACCCAACTTCAAGTTGCGCATGCTCACCTGTACGTTACGGAACGATGCAGGCGATGTGGAAAACGGCCTTAACCTCCTACTGTGATCCGTCATATAAAACAACACAAAACTGATACTGCATTTTAACAAGTCATAACTTAATAGCGGTTTGAAGGCATCGAAAGAACTGGCAGTTTTTCCATAATTAATAAGTGTCGTTGTAAATGTAGTCCCCTTGCTATTCTCTCGCATCTCAGCTGATTACGTCAACTTCCTGTTATGCTACCTGTATGAAGATCTGAGCATGGACGCTTGTAAATTGTTTGACAATGACTTTGAAATAAAGTCGAAATATTACCTTGAATTTTCTTATCTTGTTTAATTAAACAGTTCGAATTTTGAGTTTTCAAGATGTTAATATTCGGAATGTGGTTCATCTTCTATGCTATAATTTGAGCGATCTTTCAGCGCCATTTAGTGGTTAGCTTTCAAAAACATATCATATATAGGTCTGCAATGAATTTTACGTAAGCAATTCTACTCTGTAAAAGTGTTTTATCAAATTTGAGAAGATTTATGAATTATATAGTTAAATTTAGTCTGTAAATAAAGAAGTCTGATAATATTTTCCTTCTTATCGATGTTTTCAATACACGAACCGCTTCACGTAAATTTTTCCCTTGTTGTTTTCCTAAATTTTCCCAATTTTTTTTCCACTTTTATGTTTTCAGACGTTTTACTCAAATATTTTATTTTCGTTCCTTCCTATCCAATCCATGTTTTGCCGAATGGGAATTTGCCAACTGAGGATTTGGGGTTGTTCCACCCCCACACCCTTCTAGCGCCGCCCATGCCTCCAGTATATATTTAGCCTAGTGTCTTACTCAAATCCCGATGCACAAACTATATCATTCGCATCCAACGTAGTTGATCGTGATGGTCCATTTCAGAAGTCCGCTTTGTGATAGAAAAAGTTCATGGATTATAAGTTTTAAAATACAAACCTTTTTCTTATCTACTTACAACTTTTCTTTCATTTCAGACAAGTCAACCAAGCACCCATCATGAATATTCAATTTTTCCTTGCATTTGTTATTGCAATGGGATTGGTAGCCGGTCTTGAAGCGAAGTGCTGCAAGAGAAAAGGACCTCTCTGCTGTGGAAATGGCAAATGCGATGCGCTCTGCTGTAATTGTGATGGTGGATGCAACGCACATTGCGAGCTGAGCAACGTTAATGGTTGTAACGCGTTGCAGTGGTTAGAATGTTATGCTACTGTGGCTGAATGTGCATCTGAATGCGTTGACCCTGCAGATCCGCTGTGTATTCTGTGTTTCGGTGATTTGTATGAAAAATGTAAGGGCTGTCTCTCATCAGAAGTTGATAGACAAAGAGTTCGTGATGACACCAAATACATGTTGGATGCTTATCATAAAGAGATCTTACCCTATAATATATACCTTGGAGAAATATTGAAAACTGCTGAAGAGAAACAAACTAAGGACAAGAAAAACGAACTTTAAGTATATATTAAATATTTCAAAGATTAACTTACATTTTATTAACATGATTCTCGCAGTATAACATTAAGGATAATTATATAAGCTAAAAATCTTTCATTGTTGTAGTATTGGCATGCAAGAAGTATAAAGCTCCTCATATATCTTCAAGTAGAACATAACCATTGTAATTTTGAGTGCCTAAACGTGAATTAGAATAAACAATCAGTACTTTCTGTAAACCTTAACCATGTCTTACCATTCATTTCCGAGGGTTCGAAATTCTCTTAACTGTCCTTTTATTGCCTGGTTAATGATTTTTTCATACGGAGCCCGTAAATCATGTTAATGAGTGATGGTGTTATAATTCCTAGGGTTTCTAGAATAATATGCATTTCCGGAATTCTAAGTGGAGTTGTGAAAGGGGCCGGTTGTTCGAAAGCCGGTTAGCTTAATCCAGGGTTAACGAAAAACTTCAAAGCAAACTTTTCAGCCGCTTGTTTATAAACGTGAAAATATTTATCCCAATATCGTGCGTTGATTATTCTAACGTTGTAAAATACAGGTAAAGGAACGTTGTAATTAAAGAAAAACATGTTCAAATTAATATAATCCCAAGAAGTACAGTGAATTTGAAGTTTTTAACGCGGAATTGCAGAGAAAACCAAAGTTTCGGGGTCCTAAAAATAAGTGCCATGACTGAAGATATGAACGCCAGACTCGTCAATGGGGGCCAAATCATAAAGATTATAAATAACACTAGAGGAGGCATCGAGGTTAAAAATTGGGAACGCAGCTAATGGCGGGGGGGGGGGGGCAAGTTCAAGTCCCGGATACAAAATCGCGCTCTCATTGGCTGATTTGAAACTCGTCACCAATGGGAACATTAATACACATCCGGGACTTGAATTTGCCCCCCAATTGCCGCGTTCCCTTTTTTTAACTGAATTAAGATTACAATGCCTCCTCTAGTGTTATTTATAATCTCTATGGGCCAAATAACGAGGATTGGATTATACTGAAGTGTTGGACCATTTAGTTAAGAATAAGGATTGAAAGTACAACTAACTAACTTGACCAACTGAACAGGCTAGACGGTACAACGGCGATATTTGCTCCTATTTTAAGGTGGCTCGCTCGATACAGTTTCTTAAAAAAATGGAGAATTTACGATTTAGATCCATATTTTTGGACAATTATGACTTGTTGAAAAACAAAGGGCGTCTTATTTATGTAAAACAACATCTAAACTGAGTTGGGATTTTTGCACAAAGTTTGCAGAGCTAACGTTGCTATGGCAATAATGGCGTTTCAACGCGGCATATATTTGGCTTTAAAGTGAAGTAATTTTACTCGAAAACGACATCGCGGTGATCCCAATTTATTATTCATAAAAACGATTTCTTTTAGTATATTGAATTAATTAGTTGATAATTTTAAAGACACTCTGTCAAGCCAAAACATTTTTATGAATAATCATGCTTGTAAAAGCTAACAAAAAAGGAGTGAAAGAGTAAACTTCCCCGGCGTGCTACATCATGTTATTAGCATAATAGCATTATATGGTCAATCCGGGAAATTTTAAATTTGGAAAGATTTGTTCACAAATCATGTCTGGATCATAGGAGTTTTCTTTTCTGACATTTTGAAATATAAAATGGACATGCAGAAATATGCAAACTGAAACAGGGGGTTAAATTTTAACCCTGCATGGGTTAGCGCTAATCCACCTTTGAACAACCGGCCCCTGCAGTACAAATATATCTATATGTATCTGACTATCATCTATTATTATATACACAAGGTCCGGATATGGGGTATTCTGCAATCTGATTGGTTCTCTACTAGCTGGATATTAGCGCATATCCTGCTAGTAGAGAAAAACAAAATGGCGGCTCAAACTGAATTTCCGGATTTTTGCGAACGAGAAAACGACAAGTTGTTCACTTTTTGTAGCCTTTACAGGATTAAAAACACCATGGAAAAACTCCCAAAAATTGTTTACAGGTTAGAAAATTAATTTTTAAAATTTGAAATGGTTAAAATATATATTTTTGAAAAAATAATCGGCTGAAAGAGCGATTAAGATAAAACATAAACAAAATAGGGAAATATTAATGAAAATATCTAAAAAGCAATGTCTGTGAATTCAGACCTTGTGTATATAATTAAACAATTATTCTACTCACTCTCGTCGAATATAAGCTCATATTCGCCTCGAGTTCGTAGAATAACTGTTAAACATTTAAAAATGTGGAGTAAAATGTAGGCAAAGTTCATACGGCTTTAATTTGGGAAAACTTATGTGCACAAACACCATCATCACAAGAGATAAAGTAAATAATTATCATGCTTTCACCAGGGCCTTTTTTAAGGATTTTCCCGTGGGGGGGGGGGCATTTTTTGAAAAGGGACCTTTCTGTGAGATAATATATTAGAGGGGGATAGCAATGGCTGAAGGCCACGTGTGTGACCAATATACCACGCATGATTGGGGGGTCTGGAGCGGCAGGTACAAAACGCAGGTTGCAGGTTGGAATTTTGCAGGTTGCGAATTTTGCAGGTTGGAATTTTGCAGGTTGGGGATTTTGCAGGTTGGAACTTTGCAGGTTGCCCGGAACTTTGCAGGTTGATAATGCAAACTTAAAATTACACCACTTTTTTAGTATTCTAGTATAATTTAGTTGTGCATTTATTGCAGTCTGACTCCTTGTCGTCGCCACTGCTCTAAGACTAGTGGCCATCACCCCGTGAAAACATTCAAAATGACCAGATTGGCTTGGACCTACAGGGAGACGAATGCAGGGACGTAGGAACGGGGGGACAGGGGGGCCAGGCCCCCCAAGTTTTGCCAAGTGCCCTTTTTCCGGGAGCAAAGTGCCCTTTTTTTGCGTTAAAAATGTTTTAAGGATTGCCTTTTTTTGCCCAAAGCGCACGTTTCGAAACTTGAATTTATGTTATTTTCCGGAATATTTTTTTCATTTCCGGAAAAAATATGACATGCACGAAATATTTTTTGGTGTTTCCGACAAATTTTTTTCACATATAGGAAAATTGAATATATCCGGAGAAATTTTTTTTTGGTATGTACGGAAAATATTTTTGAGACCTCCCCCCCCGTCCCCAACATTTCCGTGAAAAAAATGTTTAGATGCCCTTTTTTATTCGGAGAGTGCCCCTCAAAGCCTGCCCCCCCCCAACTTTTAGAAGCTTCCTACGCCCCTGGACGAATGTTTTGATTGTTGCGAGGTGCCTACATGATGTGGCGGCGTTTATACTAGAATGTTGTTAAAAGTTAACTAACTCTTGAGTAAAGATACGGTAATTGGGGGCTTGAGTGGACTTCTCATAAGTGGGTGCAGAGGAGAGACACCTCATTTTCTGAACTACCACCACGTCATGTAGGCTCCTCGCAACAATCGAAACATTCGTCCCCCTGAAGATCCAAGCCAATCTGGTCATTTTGAATGTTTTCACAAGGGTGATGAGCAGAGGCTAGAAACATGGTAGCAGGATAGGCTGATATCAAAAGCGGCGACAAGGAGTCAGACTGCAATAAGTACACAATAAAATTATACTAGAATACTTTATAGTAGTGTAATTTTCAGTTTGCATCGTCAACCTGCAAAATTCCTGTCAACCTGCAAAATTCCAACCTGCAAAATCCCCAACCTGCAAAATTCCAACCTGCAAAATTCCCAACCTGCAAAATTCCAACCTGCAAAATTCCCAACCTGCAAAATTCCAACCTGCAACCTGCAACCTGCAACCTGCGTTTTGTACCTGCCGGGTCTGGAGTGTACTCCCCCAGAAAATTTTTGAAATTTGAATCCCGGAAATGTCATTTCCTGCATTCTGAGCATCCAAATTTGCTCCAAAATTCATGCTAACTATACTTGTATTTGAAATAAATAAAGGAAAAAATGCACAAAAGTAAAAAAAATAACCATCATTTATCATTACTTATTAGAGGAGGAGAGCAATGGTCACGTGTGCAGGGGTGTACTCCCCGGCCAGAAAATTTTTGAAATTGGAAGCACGGAAATGCCGTTTACTGCATTCTGAGCATCCAAATTTGCTCTAAAATTTATGCTAACTATACTTGTGTTTGAAATAAAGGAAGGGAAAAATGCACAAAAAGTAAAAAAGAATATTAACCGTAATTTATCACTTACTAGAGGGACAATCCCCCGAAAATTTTTGAAACTTGAAACCCGGAAATGCTATTTCCTGCATTTTGAGCATCCAAAAAATAAAAAATTATTAACAATAATTTATTATTACTTAGTGGTAGAAAAACGTAACAATTTAAATCGATTTTGTTAAATAAGGACAAAGGATAAAGCCTAAAACTTACTTTCCATTTATCTATTTGTTAATCTTCTCTGGTTTGTTTGTATAATTTTAGGAAAAAGGGACTTTTCCTGGGGGGCAAAATATGATTTCGTGAGGGGGGGGGCACAAGGGGGGACTGGGGGGGCATGGTTCACAACACAGGAGATATAAAGCCTATATATATGACCGGATATTATTCGGCTCAATTTTGTCCCCAAGGTAAGCATGCAGACGTGATACAGAATATCAAATCAGGACGCTTGCGATTTACAACTTTTCCTATGATAGATAGATCACATATAAAATAAGTTAATGCAATTTGAACGCCCGTGGATTAATCAGATTAAAATTAAGCAAAAATGTTTTTTACTCGTAAATGCAATTACTTGTTTTTTTCTGTTATCTGTATAGTTGTGTTTTGTGTGTGTTCGTCCGGCCGACGGAGTATTTAATTAACTAGTCTAGTAAAATTATCTGCCTGATATCTAGCCCTTATGGTTATCATAAGCAGGTAGTACCCATATTAATATTAATTCTATATTACAAAAAGTTGGATAAATGTAAATGATTTTTATTTTGGGTACAAATAAATGCTTGTGCTTCAGGATATCTGGCAAAGTGTCTAGTTAACCCATTAGGTTGCAATGCCCCCCAATGTGCCTACGTTATTATTTTACTTGACTGTCTAACGCCAGACGATTTTACTTGTGAAGGGAACAGCGCTTGTGCTCGATAGGTTAATGATATGGTGATAGTTAATTTAAGAAATCAATGAAACTGAAAGTTAAGAAGTGCAGTTGAACCCCTTTCAACACACACCTCTCTTAATTAAGCGGACACCTCTTTGAAAAGTATCTCTAGCAATCTCATCGTTAATCAAATACTATACCTCATTTTAAGCCGACACTTATTTACATTTACTTATCTGCGAGCGAGCTCCCAAGAGTGTCCATTTAATAATAATTTGAGCAGTCATCATTACTGATATATATTGTACAGTATCAGTGGTATGGCATTTGCAAGTGTTATCAGTCTCGCCGGCAAGTGTTATATCAACAGTCTCGCCTTTAGTTCGTCTGATAACACCTCAACTTTCATAATTTAGTATATCACAAAAACCTCATCCAATAACTGTGCATGTTTACTATTTAACATGAATTGAACAGTACAATAATATTTAATCAATATTTACATATTATTTTTTCCTAATTAATATTTCTATTCACAAAGTTCTTGGCAAGTGGGGGGCGGGGAGCGTTGCTTCCGCCTAAACAGAATTAATTTTCCGAATATTATATTTTTCATTACTGCAGTACCTTTTGGGCTGACGTACCGTTACTCTTTAGTTTCTTTTTTGAATATTTCCGTAAACCCACCTCTAGCGCCGCCCCTGGATGGCAAGTTCATGTGATAAAAACAATCTCGTTCCCAGAGCCTGCGATCCTCGGGAAGGAACGTGAGGCTCTGGGATAATCCGTTGCCGGAAGCCAGGAATCCTGATTAAGATTGAACTACGCATTCCATCGTTCAACGGCCAATCAGATTCCTCCCTGAAACGGATTATTCCAGAGCCTCGCGTTCCTTCCCGTGGATCGCAGGCTCGGGGAACGAGATTGGTGATAAAAAGTATCTAATAACTACAATTTGCGACTAAACATCTGGCTGGACTCGGAACTTTGAATTTTTTAAGAAACTACCCATTTTCATAAAAAGTTTTAATTAAACAAATCTTGCCTTATATATTCTCTCAGTTTTAGTGCATATTTAACAATTGTCTACTTCATGTATATAATATACAAATGCGTCCATTATTCAGGTTTCTAAACGTCACTTTAATTAATGTTTTTTAATGTTATAATGAGATTCGGCAACTATTTGAATACAACGTAGCGCCCAGCGAGCGAGAACTCGAGTCTAAAATGTGCTATTGGACGGGAAACCTTAAATACTCCAAGTACCAATAAATTTGTACATTTTCTAGTGTTTAAGTTTTCACTAGAAATTTTTATTCTTCAATAACATCATTATCCGCGACGACAAAGCGAGAAGCCATTGTTTTTATTTATTGCTATTTAATTAAAACAAGAAACTTCCCGCGCTTGCGTCTCAGCCAATCAGGTACAAGTAATTTTACCCTGAATTAAGAAAAAATGCCCTCCTCATTAGCCAAACATATTTGAGTAATTTTCCCTCTATATGATTAAGATAAATAGGAGTAGAAACTTGAAGTTTTGAGATAGGAACTTCTCGAATTTTTAGCAACTTTTTGGCATTTTTTCCCGGCAACTTTTTGAGATTTTAGGAAGACAATCTGGACATGCCTATTTGCCACAAGTTTCCCCAATTAATTATAGCTAGGTAAAATTACAATAATTTTAACAATCGAAACAAGCTAAACATAAGACAAATTTACAGTCGATGTAACAGACAACTGTAAACAACAACTTAAAACTCCATCAAGTTAATGTACAACATTATTTTACACGACTCGAAGATACGCCTCTACACTTTCTCCATTTAAAGACTTTTGAAGACGATTTCCCTCCCTTTTAATGCAGGCTGTTGCGGGTCATCAGGTTTCACAGCTATATAATGACCATAGAGTGATTTTTCCACGGGTTTTCCATTGACGAGCACTCTATCTAGAATTACTGGTCTGCTTAGATAGGCGGATATATTCACGGGCTGACTTCTCATGTAGAAATACTCGTTAATACCATTATCTTTACTATGTATGAGCACTTTTGAGGTGTTGTAGTTTAGATCAGGAGAGCTGATACTTATATTTATGTTTGAAAAATTCACCCTATCGATTTGGGCCATAACTATGCACTCGGCGCTGACATGTCTGATAGGACCTTCGGTCAAACGCACGTTTTTCTTGAAGAAACTATAACCATACGTTTTACTTGGGCTTGCTGTTTTGTCTGTAAATCGTACCACATGAGCAGCGGAATTTTTATGAAGTACTTCATAAACTGGCGAGTCAGAGATCTGAGCTTTTTGAAAGGCTTCTATGCCAGCAACATCGGTTGCGACGAGTATCGCATATTCATAACTTGCTGAAACAGGGTTTATACCGTGATCAAGCCAGACTGTTGCATATCTAGCTTCGGTGGGCGTTTTACCATTGGGTGCCTTCGATTTTTGCCGACTGATGGCGATGTTTGCCGATGAGCCTTTCGGAATGTAATATCCATTACCGTTCGTATCCAATATGGCGGCGGAATCGTATAGTATTTGAGAGAAGTCATCCTTGAGCAATTTCATTTTACCATTAATATAGATAACTGTGATACTTGTGGTGTATTTATCTTGGAATAAAGTAGTTTGAGTTTGGTACGGTTCGCTATTCGTCGAATTAATATTACTGCCGAGACAAACTATCAGGGAATTGTAGAAAAATACCGATTTTGTAAAATTGAATTTTATTTTTTCGAACGCAGCGTCATCATTTCTCACTCGCGTAAGCTTACGAAAGTCTTCATTTTGAGTTAACTGCTCATCGTTTTCCTACAAAAATGAGAAATCTTTATTACTTTTTCAGGCGTGCCAATTATTGGATGTTTTGGATTACATGAGGAAGACTACAGTATAAAATCTGCCGCGAGGCCCAAGAAATTCCTGTGAGCTTACCAGAATGAGCTTCGTTTAGAAGAGCCCACCTTAAAACTAACTACATTCAGAACGCTGTCGCTCAGCTGAACAACACGAATCAATATGTATGCAGGTAAGATGGCTTAGTTCCTGTCAGCTGTCCTTTTAAGGTAGCTAGCTCCCTACAGTTTACTAGAAAATGAAAGATCTAGACCCAATTTTTCCAGAATTCGTATATGTTAAAAGACAAACAAAGCCCGCTTAGTCATGAAATTTTGGCATGACGGGATTTTTTAAATAACGAAAATGATTCAAAATGCTAAAAGAAATCATGCTATAAAAAATGGGTGTCACCGACCTTATTTTCAAGTTAAATTACCTTAAACCAAAAATATCCGCCGTATTGGAACATCATTGTTGCCATAGCAACGGCTGTTGGGAATAAATTTTTAAAAATTCGTAATTCCTCAATTGCTGTTTTATTCAAGTCAGATACTCTTTGTTTTGCAATAAATAATTATTGTCCAGAAATTCATGTCCAAATCAGAAAATCTTCCATTTTTGTAGTATGGCCATACTACAAATTAAAGAACAACAAATGAACAAAACTGAACTAAACGGGCACAAGGAATAGGGGAGTTTGGTCAAATTGTCTTCATGTGGGAGGAAGATGATCAATAATGCTTATTTGAGTGTAATTGTAGTTTTAATTTTTACGTTATATTAAATCAAACGGCGTACCTTTTTTAGGACACCCGGTACACAAATCTTATTCACCACTGCACCATACATTCAAAATACAAGAAATTTGCCAATTCCATTTCAGAAATATCATCAGAGGAAAAACCAGTTTCATATTTATTCTGACGCCGGAAGAATTTAAAAAGGGCACCTGCTTCTGAGCCTTAATTTTGTGGGTGGCATGCAATGTTCGCTGCCGGGAACTTGGTTACTTGTAACTATAATATACTGTATAGTTAGACAAGTTTCGGCATTGATTGAAGCATTCTTGTTCATTGCATGACGCTAAAGACTAAAACGTATTGTAAAACAGCATGACAGTTTGTCAATTATTTAGGGAGGTTTCCTTTAATTCTCACGTTTTTCATAAAGGTAGAAACGTTGGTAACGTTTCCGGGGGGAATTTCAGATTCAGTTCTCAATTTCAATTCATGTGAATATCGCACGACTTTCGAAATGTAGGTCTTGTAAAAAAAGGAAACTTGCTGCCCCGTACTAGAGAGTTCGGCAACCAACAATGGAGGTGGCAGAAAACAAAATTTCTTATACTTTTGTCAGTGTTCGAGCCAAAACATATATCACTAAACATTTTTAAAAGCATGCACTTATTTACTTTTTAAACAACCCTGAAATCTCCTAAAGTAGCAATTATAGTAAGTGAATTCACATAAAATATCCCAAACAACTTGAAAATTTTTATACTCAGTTGGCGTGGTCATGATGTCATACTAAAATGCTTAAGGGAATGCAAATTATAGTTGCCCTTGTTTTAGGGTAAAGATGCTATTGTTGATGAGCATGTTCTCGTTGTATTGCCGTTGTATTTGCCAAACTCTTTAATGTTTGGGCAACGTGTTCTGGGCGACGAGGGCAGCTGCCCCTGTTTCTCCCGTGGCTCCGGCAACCCTGTTCTGACACTGCAGAGTAGTTGTCTCGAGCGGGATTCGATCTCGCATCTTTGGGTTTCCAGAGCGCCGCTCTATCCATTGAGCTACCGAGTAAATGGGGATTGGTAGCGAGACTAACTTATCCAATTTTAGTGCACGATATATTTTCGTGGCGACCTAGCGCTTGTCGTGGAGGACGCACAGTATTTTAATTCTACTTTAGAACCATCCTCAGAGATATGAACAGTATACATGCATCTCATTGGCAGATGACGTCATCCCTTGGGTATTTAAGAAGCCACGATTGCATCTTTAGATCACCCCTGATGAAGACACTAGACTGGAGTGTCGAAACGTTGGGTCTTGATTACAATTCGACTGGGCTTTGTAATAATTTATTTAAAGGGATACGGCAATATATTTTTTATTATTTCATTTTAAAGAACTTTTAAAATTATATGTAAATCTCCTTTACCGTTTTTGCGTAACTTTATTATTTCTTGAAATATTTTGACTTAAAATAATTTGCTGTCCGCCATCTTGGATTAATTTTTATCTCATTGTCGGTGATTTTAGTGACGTCAAAAGCAGGGTTAGCCATATAAAACTACATCTAACTGACCAAATAACATTAGGTCTTGTTTGAAAAGTTTTTTATTTCAAATAATTACTGAAGTGTATGATTTTGGGCTCATAATATATAACCATTGGCAATTGCTCTATGGATAAAATTCTTGCGTGACCCTGCTTAGATGTCACATGCATATCCGCCAAAATCCAAGATGGCGGAAAGCTCGCTGATTTGTGATTTTTTTTGTTCAAATATCTCAAGAAATAATAAAGTTACGCAAAATCGGTAAAAGAGATTTACATATAATTTTAAAAGTTCTTCCAAATGAAATAATAAAAAAATATATTGCAGTTTCCCTTCAAAAAGACACTGCAAAATATACAAGATACAAGGCAAAGCTGAGTATCTTTAGGTCTGATAAAACACGCACTGCGAATGTTTAGTTCTTGTCCAGATACATATGGAGCTCACTGCTTGGGAAGTGTATATTATATATGTTATTGGATTCTTCTGAGCCCAATATATATATAAGGTCGACCCAGCAGATTGGACCGAACGTGACCTAGCGCGAATGACTCCGGAAGCAAGAGAGGATTATGAACGTTTTATATTGAGCGACCGACCAAAATATATTCCAATGAAGCCGGAAAAACTTGCAAAGTTATCCCCAGAAGATAGACAAGAATATGAGAACTCTTTAAAAATAACAAAAACACCTAGACGTTACGCTCTTAGAAGTAGACCTTACTAAATTTTGTAAAACATTTTGAAGAAATAAATGTATTCTAAAACTGAAATATTGTGCAAATTTTTGCCCGCAAAGCCCGCTCTTTCCGCCCGCGCGAAAAGATCCGTGTACAAATATGTTGTACTTTAATATATGCATGCACCCACAAAGCCACGCGCGTGATTTTAAGGTATACACCGGCGTTAAAAATAATCCCTATCTATCCATCGGAATACACTTAGTTATGCAAATTCGTATTACCTTAATCCCCTTAATTACCTACACGCCTCCTAATGACTTAGCAACGCATAACAACGCAGCAAAGTTTAAAACATGTTTCTTGATACAAATAATAGAGAAAAAATATTACAACTAAGACTGTTAAATTGTTCTACAGGTTTTTTTCTTCAAGTATTCTATCTGACTCGGTCATCTTGACCGTATATATGTATGTAGGTTTGCTAAATAATGTTGAACAACATGCAAATAGCGATCATAAAACGGCTTTGACAACCCGGGATTAGCAACTGCTTATTTCTGTTGCGATATTTTTTATTTCTGTTTGGAAACTTATTGCTCAAAACGAGCCATCAAAATTAAAACGAATTTCAATTGCGTGTTGAAAATAAGAGAGAGACTCACAACGTTGCTACGTGGTTGTAAGGCAAAAATTTTTCTACCGTACCGGGTTCGAACCGGAGGATATCAGTATCTTAGGATATCAGTATCTTAGGATATCAGTATCTTATGATATCAATATCTTAGGATATCAATATCTTAGGATATCAGTATCTTAGGATATGAATTGAATTTTTGAATTGGATTGAATATCTTAGGATATCAGTATCTTAGGATATCAGTATCTTAGGATATCAGTATCTTAGGATATCAATATCTTAGGATATCATCCAGTATCTTAGGATATCAGTACCTTAGGATATCAGTATCTTAGGATATCAATATCTCTGCCCGCGTTAATTGGTCGCGCTACCTGTCACAGTTGGCCCAGGCCTGCCCGCGTTAATTGGTCGCGCTACCTGGCCCAGGGTTAGGGTTAGGGCCAGCAAAGTTACGTCACATATTTTGCATACTAATTACTTTCGGAGCAGCGTGACGTCATTGGCGGCATCCCTTTGAACTCCAGATGGGAGTCTTTTACTACTTATATACCACGTTTATGAGTTATGATCAACTAGTAAGGATCTAACGCTTAACTAAGTGTCCTATAATCTTATTTATTCCATCACTTGACTTTTTGTATGATTTGCATTTTTTTGCTATGATGTTATATATGATTATACTAGTATTATAGCAGTATAATAATAGCATATAGCACTGGCACTTGAAGCTTATTTCATTGCATATTTTATTTACAAGTTTACTATTTAATTTGCATTTTATTGGAGACTTTGCAGAGCATATATTTACCATTTTACCTCATGACTGTGATTGCAGGGGTGGGTAACAGAATTTCTGTTGCTGATGTTAGTGTGTACAGTGTAAATACAGTAGAATAGTTGTAAGTTGAATGCAAAATGTTGAAATATTCTCTGGAAAATTTTCTGCAAACTCTCAACTCAAAAAAAATTCAGGGAACTAGGTTCCCAGATTCCGATACTTTTTCCACCTCTGGGGGTATCCATAATTAAGAACTGTCTGTGCCAGTGTAGGTAGTGCCAATAATAACAAAGCTTTCGTTGGTAGGGATGCAACTTCCTGAAAAATACAAGGAGAAATTCGACGTTTCGAGCGAAGGCCCTTATAAATATATGAACAAAAGATATCGTCGCGAAGTATATGAAATATGTATATGAAATTATATGAAATGAAGAAACGTTGCGAAGTTAGTAGCCAGTCGTATAGTCTATTAAGATATGATGGCCTGGAAATTAAACAGAAGTCATTGTATTATGTTTTGTCTGCGTTTATGTTAATTTGTGCACGGTCACGGTGATTGAGCTCATTGTATTTTCGTATAATTAAGTAACCGTCCAATAGGGATAGCTGTGATGAAACGTGTAACCACGATGAATAATTTTTGACGAAGTTGAGACAAAGGATTTCTGCACGGTGAGGTACAGTTCAACATCGAACAAAAGTCTTCTATTTTGTAGCTTTGAATTTGCCGGGCTTCTAGACCATCATAACTTGACAGACTATGTCAGTCGTTAGTAGTAAGTGGCTCTTCGTCGGGAAGTTTGGCTATACTAGACAGGTTCAGATTTGACTTCCACTACCGGCTACCACTACCTCTCACTGACTTAGTACGCATCTGATTGGTTAATCGGATATATCAAGCGTATCTGATTGGTTGATGGTCCCTTAATGGTAGAGGTAGCGGTAGTGGAAGTCAAATCTGAACCTGTCTATTAACTTCCCGACGAAGGGCCTTCGCTCTAAAAGTCGAATTTCCCCTTGTATTTTTCAGATAGTTGCATCCCTGCCAACGAAAGCTTTGTTATCCATAATTAATCCTATCATAATAACTGTCTATCATAATCTGGCATAATAGATAGAGAATAATACATGGGTGCGCGGAAATACCAGATTTATTTCGAGTGTTGAACATGATATCTCACGAGTGAGCGCAGCGAACGAGTGAGATATCATGTTCAACACGAGAAATAAATCTGGTATTTCCAAGCACCCATGTATTTTTCTGTTTACTACATAAACAACATTCAGTGAAAAACAATAAAACGTCCGTTGCAATGCGTTTTATAATTACAACAAATGATATTTTCACACGTAAAAATATCGTATTTTTACGTGTGTTTAAATACGATTTTTCTCAGTGGCCAAAAACTCTATATGACACTTATGTTTATATAATAAATCTATTTTCTTTATTTTAGGCTGCCTTTATTCATGCATTTCTCTACAAAGCTCTTGGATTACCGCTGAGATGAGAGATTATTCATTGCATGGGTTGAGGTATATGAATAGCATATAAGTGGGGCAGGGGGGGGGGGGTGCTAATCATCCTTACTTGCAGCTGAGAGCTAAGCTGAATTACGAAGGACGCAGCTCAACCTGATCGAGTCGAAGGCTTTCGAAGGCGCCCGCCTATGGCAGCCACATTATGACTTATGTCTGATTACGGTGCACAGCTACGCTGGAAGGGTCAGTTAGGGGATAATCCCAACCCACCCTGTCAACATTCCCCGTGGGAGGAAACCGGAGTACCCGCAGAAAACCCACGACTTTCGGTAGAGCGTTGACTGACTCTTATTATTCATCTTTTGTTCATATATTTAGAACATTTCAATCCACTGTATATGAGCTATTCTGCAATGTGAATGGTTGAGCTATACTCGCCGCATATTTAACAATGAGCTCGAGTCGTATATAAGTTGATAGCCCACGAGGTACGTAGCACCGAGTCGGCTATCAGCCATATACGATGAGAGCGAATTGTGTAATAGCTGTTATCGTAATTGAATACGCCGCTGCGGCATACCAGCGGTATCTCGGTGGAAGTATGCACGAAAACGAGGCTAGAGGGTCAAAAAACACAAAACATGACCCTATAGCCTCGTCTCGATGTTAAAATAATGCAGATACCGCTGGTCCGTAGCATAGACGTGTTCAATTACGATAACAGCTATTGTTTAAAAATAGCATCACTAATATATTCTTCTCTGTTACATTGTTTTGACAGTTGTTCAAACACACGTATCGCAACTTTGCCTGCAATTTTGAAATGTTTTGTTATGTTTTTGTTTTAAACCTTCGGTTGAAATAAATGGTTTAGCACAGTATTGTTGACAAAAAAGTTGAGATATTTTGTATAGATGTTTTGTAGAGTAAATTAAGTCGACTGTATGCAAATTAATTTGGGTTTTTTTGTGCAAATTTTCTGAACAATTTATTATTCTCATGAACATGTTTTCCCGCTGCTCTTTCGGCATTATTTATTTTTTTAAATACTTGTATTTAAACCTGTTTCTGTTAATATAGTGAATGTACTTGCTAACTTGTCAAAAACTTTTGGGCGTTTTTTTCTTGTAAATTTGTCCTTTTTAACTCAATTTTTTCCTTTTTTCTCGTTCGCAAAACTCTTGTAAGTTTTTTTGCCGCCATCTTGTGTTTGGCTACTCGCCGTACATGAGCTGATATACGGCGAGTAACTCGACCAATTAGATTGCTATATAGCTCATATACGGTGGAGTATAATATAATATATTGGATTCTACTGAGCCCAATATGTCAAAATATTAAGTGGAGACTTCAATATTGAGCGAGACCGAAGGCCGAGCCTATAATGTTAAAGTCGTGTAGTGTTAATTTTGGAAGTATTGTACTGTTAATTTCGGGGAGTCATTTTAACTCCAAAAGTGGAGTAAGAGAAAAGAGATACAGAACATAGTCGCCGTTTATCAACGGTGAATGTAAAATGTCGTGCGAAATGCCATCCGGAATAAGACGGAATTGCATGCGAACCAATCATAAGCTTAATCATGAACCCCAATCGTAACTAAGTTTTGACGATCACCAATTGATACGATTCTGATTTGTGAAATATACAGTAAAAATTGTCAATACAGTTTGTCAATTGTGCTGTTGCTATAACGATTAAAGCTTTTAAATTTCGTGCGCAAGCCATTTTTAGTTTGTTGGAAAAGAAACACCCCCTGGTTTACACAATTTGTTTGAAACACCCCCCTGGTTTACACAGTTGGAGTATTTTTTCATTATTCTACATTATGGGTACTCAATGAATCTATATAAAACAAAACCACGAGCTGTTTTGCGAAATTGAGAGCAATTTCAAATCTGTTCAGTTTTTTTGATACACCATAATAAATAATCAGTTTAAGTATTTTAAGTTAATGGATGGAAAATTTGTTGGGTTTTTAATTACGGAACAAAATTTCAGACAATTTACTTTAGTTTAAGTCTAAAAAATCAGCCTTTCGCATGCTTAATTAATGCCTTTACCTAATTTGCATATTGCTGACATATGCAAATTTGGCAAAGGCATTATTCAATTAAGCATCCAAAAGGCTGGTTTTTTGAGAAAAAATGTAAGTTTGCGTGAATAGTTAAAGGGCTTAAACTGAAGCAAATTGTTTGAAATTTCGTGCAGCAATTAAACATCCAACACATTTTTCACCCATTAACTCAAAGTACGATTATAGCTTTTAAATCTCGTGCGCAAGCATTTTTAGTTTGTTAGAAAAGACACCCCCCTGGTTTACAAAATTTGAGTTCGAGAATTTTTTTCATTATTCTACATTATAAGTACCCAAAAAAGCTATATATATAAAAAACTGGATACTAAATTAATAGCTGTTTTGCAAGATTGGGAGCAATTTCAAATCTGTTCAGTTTTTTTTTCACCCTGTAGTTTTACGTGCACATTTACGCTCGAAACTTCAGTTCCAGGAGATAACTGGGTAAATTCGGTCAAGGGAAGCAAGATTAATTCGAGATAGCGGAGAGTTCGAGATAACCGCGTGAAAGTGATTGAAGTAGTATTTATGGCAAATAGACCGTATGCGTAATTACGTCACAAGGCTTGATGCACGCGAGGAATGCTGGTCTAGTCGTTATCGCCCGTGAAAATTTAGATAGTGGCCATTTTGAATTGTTTAATTTTCCCTGGCGATGACCAGCATTCTTAGCGTGCATTAAGCCTTGTGATGTCATAATGCATAAGGTCTATTGATCGGAAATGGGTTTAAGTTGGAGAAAGCGCGGGAGTTCGAGATAAGCGATTCGACATAGCGGGGTTCTTCCGTATAAGAGAATCTAGCCTCCTCCGTAGGCATCTTTATAAGATTAGAATGCTAGCGTTGTTAGTGTTTGTAATCCAAGTGAGTATATACATATATATATATATATATATATATATATATATATATATATATATATATATATATATATATATATATATATATATATATATATATATATATATTAAGAACTGACCAGGTAAGACTGCGAAAAATGCAGCACAAGGTCTTCAGGTAGGAATTGAACCTACGGCCCTGCGATTCCGCCTACGAATTGAATTATTCTAATATTCTGCTATGAATTGAACCTACGGCCCTGCGCAGGCCGTAGGTTCAATTCCTACCACAGGACCTTGTGCTGCATTTTTCGCAGTCGTTCCTGGTCAGGTCTTAAAATGTATATATACTCACTTGGATTACAAACCCTAACAGCAGCATTCTAATATTAATACCACCAAGTGAAGTGCAAGAAACCAGATCATTGAAGTCCATCTTTATAAGATACCTGTGGAGGAAGCTAAAGAGAATCTTGGTAATGCACCCTCCCAGAAAGTACTTAACTTTTGCTATGGGACCTCGTTTTCACAGGATTGAGATATCGGCTTTAGAGTCCTTTATTTTCTCACCGACAACTCAATTATATAACAGCATAATTTTGTAAATGTGTCACCTGTAAGAAGATCAATGGCACCAAAGCCAATATCTCAATTCCAAAATACGAGGCTCTGTACCCAAGGAGGCTAAGTGCTTTCCACAATAGTGTATTTATTTCACACGGCTGTATCATGATTCTATAACTTCGAATTTGTCGAGTCTCCGGCAGCATCATGGTCCCATGCAACAACGCATCGGATTGACAAACATACTTTATTTGCGTCCACTGTATAGTAGACGCTATATGCAATCGACTTTGAGTCTGGCTGGACATTTAATAATTTTTGGAGATTCTCCAATGCGTACGCAGCTATACAGCCATAAATGGTTCGATCATGTGACGCCATGCACGCGTAAATGCACTTTGCCAATCAGGTCAATATTTATTAGAAATATTTCGTATCGAAATCCAATATCATGAATTACATTGTTGCCCTCGCCCCGATAATGAAGTAATAAAAGTACTTGAGAAATTTCTTGTTAAGCCCTATTGTTATTAGCGAGAAAGCTATTGCGGCGAATATATAGTAGTTTTTGCGAATATTTGATGTTGTATGCCGCGATGGCGAAGAGCACTTTTAATTTAGTCTTTAGAATACAAAATTCTAAACAATTTTTTTTAAACCCAGCCGGGAAGTTTTTTTTAATTTAGAGCCTCGCGAGAAATCCGCAATTTGCATAATTAGTTGCTGGAACTTGGACTGTCGGCGACAATCGGGTTTACCCTTCCGTTTTTCTCCAAATTATGTAATCTGTCTATGCTCGAAATTACGGCAACCCTGAAAAAAATAGGATACGTATAAACGAAAGTTATAAGAGGAATTCTTTTAAATTTGCACTATCTTGCATGCAGTTTGGTACGCTGTTCGGTGCCCACGAAGTTCACTAGGTGTCACGCGTGTAAACCAGTAGTATTTCAGTCGTTTCGCGATCAAAGTATTGTGATATTAACGGGGAAATCTTCTGTGAAGTACGCATATTTTTCTCAGAGTTAGAGTGGGCAACGAACACTTTGTACTCGCAGATCGCAAGTGACACAAAATCTATGATTCCACCGCAATTGCAAATAATGTAGTGCGAATGGCCAATGCATTTTAGAACATACCACAACACAAATATATCATGTAGCGTGTAGGTTTGGTAACTTGCGTTTTAGTTGACTATTATTTAGCGCAAACGGTATTAATTTAAGCTTGGAAAATTATGATTTTTGACAAAACAGACGCGCTAATACACCAGTAATAGCCCAATTTAAATTCCTTTGCAATTCAATACGATGTTCATTATTGTCGCGCATGCAAATAACAAACACATTTTAACTATTAGCGCAAACTGCCAGGCGAACTGCAAACTTCAAGAACCAACATTTTCGAAAAGAAACAAACGCGCTCTTTAGTGGTATACTTCTTGTACACCACGGATTTTTAAAGTTGCACCGCTCAACGGTCCGTGGAGCTTCTTGTTTTTAATATGTCAGCTGTCAACGCTAGGGCTCCAAATAATGCAAGTATATCAACTATCAAGTATGGAAAAATGATTGTCATGTATTTTAGGCAAGAGAACGTGTGGTTCCATCTTCAATTAGTTACTGATATTTAATTTGAAGTTAACTCAATAAGTGAGCAACAGTTCGAATGAATTTGTGTATACTAGCTGGATTCCGGCATAATTTACCTTGTTCGCGTAAGTATGAGGCTACGTCCACACTAATCCGTTTTCGTATTGTTCTTCATTCACCAGGGAATAGAGAAGGTCCAAGTGCAATGATACGAAAACGCCGAAAACGGAATTAGTATGGACATAGTCTGCCATGCAGATGTTTAAGATCACTTATACGTGGGCGGGCGTAAAAAGGTTTAATTGCTCATATGGGCGACACTTTCTTGCACAATAACTTTCTTGCACAATAATTCTTTCTTCAACAGTTCGTCAACAATAAGAGTTCACTAAATGAGCAATTTATGCAAGGGTGAGAGTTCCCCAGCGAAGAGAGTTCTTCAGTAGTTGAGTACTACCTGAGAAATTTAAAACAAGGGTGAGAGTCCACCAAGGTTGTCACCACATGTCTGAGCGTGAGTTCGCTAGAGAAGATATGGTTACTGAGGTGAGAGTTCACAAAGATTATTGGATGTGTCTGAGCGGGAGTTCGCTAGACAAACGATAGTTACTTTGATGAGAGTTCAACGAGATTATTGCATGTGTCCGAAAAGGGAGTTTGCTGTACACGCTATATATAGTTACTTTCGTATTTTGACTTTGTTGGAAACTATTCGACACACGTGGAGTAGTACATATTTTCCCATAAGTACAACCAAGGTTACAAGCATGCCCATGCACGTTAACTACTTGTGTGGGTGGTTTGTTTATCCACCACGATCAGACACATGAGAAACATTTTGATCCTAAAATGTTTCATTATTCAATCTTGCTAGCATGTTCTGTTTGCATTTCATAATGCTACTTGACGATTATTTACTTATCCTGGTTATCTTGCCCATGCAGGCATGCATTTGACCCCTAAGCTAACTTGATAACGATATTAACACCAATGCTATCGTATTGGCGAATGTAAAAAGTGAACGCTTGACAATAATCGAGAATTCATGCGAAAGCAATCGTCCTTTATAACATTATCGATCTTCATGCACATTTGAATCAGATCTTCATTTGTTGTGTTGCAGCCCGTAGGGGTCCTGTGACTGGTGTGGAAGTGATATGGTATATAAACAAAGGTAGTTTCGAATATTCAATCAGTTGGTGAGAGAAGGAAAAGAAGAGACAACAGCAGTTGAAGAACGTTGATATACTGAATACACTTATTGGTGAGTTAATGAAATAACACACGTGCTATGATGCAACTTTAAAACACGCGTATAAGTGTTTTATCATATTTAAAATGCGAATGCGCAGCACGAGTATTTTAAATATGATAAAACACGACTACAGGTGTTTTAAATGGCTTAAAACACGACCACAATAGAGTGACTGCCACAAGCAATTGTTATGTATTGTCTACTATCCTTACTCTCTTATGTATTGTCTATATTATCCTTACTCTATTGTCCATTATCCTTACTCTGGGTAGCTGCTCAAATTTATGTCTTGTCGGATTCTCTAAAGCTAAAATATTTTTGTCTGGTTCAACTGATTTGAGTATAGAAAGTAATAGATGTACCGGGTGTCTCAAAAAAAAGTATCGGTGTTTGATTTGTTATACCGTTAAAACTGGACAAGGAGTTTCAATCAAATAGGCTTCACTGAATTCAGAAAGGCCTAAATTAAATTTTGATACAGTATATGACTTGAAGATATTTGAGCAATATTGAATGAAATACTACAGTTTCATTTCGAAGAAGCAATTTTAAAACTGCTTAAAATTACATTAAATCGGCCTATCAAATTGACATTTAATTTAATGCTGTTCTTGTCAACACAACGCACGATAAATAATATTTACACATTCGATTATTTATTCATCTGAAAAAGCATGTCCTTAAACACCTATACATCGTTGTGCTCCGTTAACCATGCCATAAAAAGCGCTTTGTATCATTTGTGCATCTAAACTTTGGCACGCTAAAATAACTGCCTGGCGGAGCTGTCTCAAATTCCTAGGCTGCTGCTGATGCGGGACGTTCCAGGTTTGTTGCTTCAATTCGAATTTTGGCATTCGAATTTTTCATTTCCGATACTTTTTTTTGAGACACCCGGTATATTTATGCATGTTCAAAAATATATATATTAAGCAAACTAATCGTTTTTCTAGATTAATTTATTACTTTGAACCTTCATTTGAACCAGCTTTTATCACTTTTGTTGTTTTTTTTTCCTCTTTCTTTGTAATGTTCGTCTTCTCCTGTTGTGTATATTATTTAATTATTTGTTAAATGTAGTGTGAGCCCCTCGATGAGCGTCCACGCTCTTGGTTACGTAAACATTAAAGTTATTAAATATGTTTATATAAAAAAAAAGAAAAACTATTGCCTGCAGAATACAGTTGAATTAGCTTCCAAACGGTATGCAATTAAACCTACAATAACAAACACCTACGCACTTGGTTTTCGAAATATTTTAACACCAAAAACGGTATGCAGTCCAACCGCGATCAGCCCCCCCCCCCGGGGAATTTGACTTTTGAAGTATAATTGGTCAAATGCCCGCCCGAACAGGCAGCAAACACAGTCAAATGCCCTGCTATAGGGGTAGTCCTGGTTCTGGAAATTCGGCTAAAATTAAATTTAACAAGTATATCAAGATTAAAAAAATGAAAAATAGGCCAGACAGTTCTTTTTGTTCAACCGGGCATATTGTATCATATATCAATGATTGATATTTGTGATTCAGAAGCAATTCCAACGTAGTTGATTGTGATTTCCATTCCAGAAGCCCGCTTTGTGATAGAAAACGTTCATGAATAAACTTTAATATGCAAACTTTAATATAAACCAGCTGCAATCTTTAATATATGCATGCATAAGCATGTTAAGCCCGCCGCACACGAGCGCACTTGTCGCGCGTACTTGTTATTCATGACAAGTTGGATCGACAAAATTTCCTCGTGTGCGGGCAACATTTACGGCATTTTCGTCATTCGTGACATGTAAACTAAATATCAAACATGTTTGATCTTTTTCGTCATTCTCGTGTGCGGCGAGCAAACGACAAGCGCGCCTGAATAGGAAAATTTTCGAATGCGTGCAACTTGCAGAATTAAAAACAACATGGCGGATCCAAATCACGAGCTCGTGTCTTGTTTTTAATTCTGCAAGTTGCACGCATGCGCATATTTTCTTATTCAGGCGCGCTTGTCGTTTGCTCGCCGCACACGAGAATTTTTTTGTACACGAATGACGAAAAATATCAAACATGTTTGATATTCGTTTTACATGTCACGAATGACAAAAATGCCGTAAATGTTGCCCGCACACGAGGAAATTTTGTCCATCCAAATTGTCACGAATAACAAGTACGCGCGACAAGTGCGATCGTGTGCGGCGGGCTTTATACTCGACGACAATTAAATGGTGAAATACTATCTCGTTTTGTTATTTCCTATTAAGGTATTTGTTTAATATTGATAGGTTTTTCTTGATCTTGTCTACTGACAACTTTTTTAATTTGAGACAAGTCGATCAACCCAAGCATCATGAATTCTCAATTTTTCCTTGCATTGGTTATTGCAATGGGGTTCGTAGCCGGTATCGAAGCGACGTGCTGCAAGAGAAAACCAGATTTCGGTTGCTGTGGAAATGGCGCATGCAATATATTCTGCTGTAATTGTGATGGCGGATGCAACGAAATATGCGAGAAAACTCATTGTGACACAGCAGACTGGTTCAAATGTGCGGGTGTTTTGACAGCATGTGCAGCTGCCTGCGTTGATCCTGACTTGCCGGCGTGTGTTGCCTGCCTCGGCCCGTTGTATGACACATGCAAGAAATGTTATTCATCCGATGTTGATACCAACAAAGCTCTAACTGATGCCAAATACATGTTAAATGCTTATTACAAGCAGAATGTTTGCAAGAATATCAACTTATATCGAAGAAATAAAGCGAATTGCTAAAGAGATACCATGCAACAAGACGCACGTAACATTGAATAATTAACTTGAAATTTATTATGATTCTCACAGTTTTGCATTAAAGATAATTACAAAGCTACAAATCTTATACTAATTCCTGGAGCTGCAACTCCCAGCTAAACTCGCCTTAACTCCCACTAATTCGATCTCAACCTATCGAAACTCTCTTATCTTAGTTGTTAATAAAAAAAATATAGAACTCGTAAAGTCCTCTGTGTTATAATTAGCTATTTCAGATGCTGACTTGTGGGGGGGGGTTAAGCGCGATTCGCTATCACAGATACTTGTTGAATTTGTGCAGGCTCATTTAAAAATCTGATTTTTAAATCTGTTTTGTTTAAATCTTCAATATCTGATGTGTTTGTGCTCTCGCCAAAATGACGGGAAAATTAAATTTTGAAATCCTCTTTTCAGATTGTTCTGGATTGATTTAGAATTGGTATACCTAAAGATCGGATAAGATTGTTTTATATTAGGTACTTTTTGTAACGCAAGTTGAAATCAAAATCAATAGATACAGACAGTCCTTTGATTGTAGAATCAGTGTGTGTGAACTTTCTTGATCGTGATTGTGCATGGTGACTTGCCATCATCAGGGAATGATATATATATATATATATATATATATATATATATATAAAGCTGGATACTAATAGCTGTTTTGCACGATTGGGAGAAATTTCAAATCTGTTCTGGGTTTTTTTAAAACCCTGTAGTTTTACGTGCATATTTACGCTCGAAACTGCAGTTTCAGGAGATAACTGGGTAAATTCGGTCAAGGGAAGTTAGTAGTTTGATAGTTTATTTGACACTAAAACTTACAGCTCCAGAATATAACTAATTCCACTGCAGAAATATGTTGGTTTACAAGGATATTAAAACTAATTTTACATGTATTTTGTTTAAGAAAACGAATAAGATTAGACTAAAATACTTAAAAATACACATTCACATATACATGCTGTATGCGCAGACTTATAATTTGTTACTAAAACACTCACTAATGCTAATTTAGATTAGGTTAAAAAACCAGCATATTCGCGGTAAAAACAGTTTCTAAGTTATTCAGATGTGATAAAACTGTTCCTAAATCTGTTCGTTTTATAAAGTGGCACGTTAAATTTCCTATTTTTACGCAAAAAATGGCTATTGTCATTATTTAATGGCGGTAACAAATCCGTTAATCTGTGCTTATGACTATTTGTCGTTAATTCCTGTCTTCTATCGTACAGTGATGGGGTGTTCGTGTTCCTCAATGCCTCTTTGTAGTGTCACTGATCTGGGAATATTATTCGAAAAGCTCGTTTCTGAAGTCTTTCAAGATCATCAGACAGATATTTGGGTAATGAGTCGTGAAATGCTTGGCACGCATACTCGATGACTGGTCGAATACAAGTGAAGCAGAAAAGGATTAGAATTAGAAAAGGACCCAGCAATTTTACCGATGGAAGGAAGTTAGTTCGAGATAGCGGAGAGCCGGAGAGTTCGAGCTGACCGCGTGAAAGTGATTGAAGTAGTATTTATGGCAAATAGACCGTATGCATAATTACGTCACAAGGCTTGATGCCCGCGAGGATTGCTAGTTTAGTAGTTATCGCCCGTGAAAATTTAGATAGTGGCCATTTTGAATTGTTTAATTTTCCCTGGCGATGACCAGGATTTCTAGCGTGCATCAAGCCTTGTGACGTCATAATGCATAAGGTCTATTGACCGAGAATGGGTTTAAGTTGGAGAAAGCGCGGGAGTTCGAGAAAAGCAAATTCGACATAGCGGGGTTTTTCTGTATAAGAGAATCTAGCTTCCTCCGTAGGCATCTTTATAAGATTAGAATGCTGTTGTTAGGGTTTGTAATCCAAGTAAGTATATACACATTTTAAGACCTGACCAGGAACAACTGCGAAAAATGCAGCACAACTTAACTTTTGCTATGGGACCTCGTTTTCACAGGATTGAGATATAGGCTTTAATTAAGCCCGCTACACACGAGAGCAACTTGCTGAGCTAACCGCCTCGCGAAGCAGCTAGCTCAGCTATGTATTTTCACCGCACACGTTGGGAAAAACTACTCAACAACAACATACTGTAATTAACAAAATTATTTGCATTTTCCTCCATTTTGTTCCATGTCACATGAAACTATGGTTTGTCATTGGTTAATTGATTCAAACAGCTCAGCACTTAGCTCACAATATCCGCACACGCTGAGACTTTTTCCTCGCGAGCTGAAAAATATCAAACACGATAGATATTTTCCTCAAGGCCTCGAGAGTTCAAATCCTCACGAAAACTAACCGCACACGAGAGCTACTTGCTGAGCTAACCGCCTCGCGAGGCGGGTATTTTCGTGAGCCGTGAATAGTCAATATTTGTTCGCGTGAAATGTGAAATGCTTGATTTTAGTGTCGTGAAATGTGATTTGTTCTACAGCCGTGAGGCGTGATTGTCGATAAAAATGCTCCGTGAAATGAGAATTAAGGATGTCTGTTTCGTGAACTGTGATTTTGCTTTGTTTATTTCGATCTATTTTATAATAGTCATAATAAACATGATACGCGATAATCAATTTATATGATCTCACTCGATTGCACAAGAGTAAAAACTTCGGAGACCTTTCGGAGGTCGTCGGACATACTCGTCACTCAAACTTGTAAGTTATGATGTAGTTTTTAACTGACAGGTAGAGAAGTGAGAGAACTTAAAGCGTAGATACTCTACCATGCATTAAACATAGTCTTAATAAACCTATTATTATTATATTATTTTATTAGAATCTAGTTTTCCGTGAAATTGCTTCTTTTAAGACACGTGAATCGTGAAACGGCTTTTTTTTTCGTTGTGAAACGTGGTCCATACCCCCCTTTCCCACCCTCTTTCCACAATAGTGTATTTATTTCAAACGGCTGTATTATATTCTGGAACTTCGAATTCGTCGAGTCTCCTGCAGCATCATGGTCCCAACAACGCATCGGATTGACAAACATACTTTATTTGCGTCTACTGTATCGTAGACGCTATATGCAATCGACTTTGAGTCTGGCTGGAGATTCAATAATTTTTGGAGATTCCCCAATGATTCCCAAATGGTTCGATCATGTGACGCCATGCACGCGTAAATGCACTTTACCAATCGGGGGCCGGTTGTATAAAAAAGTGATTAAAGTTAACTATAGTTAGTGGAAACGTCATCCAATAAGAAGCGCGTATTTGAGAGTTAATCACTATTTAACTACAAAATCGTGATTAAAAAATTGATTAAGAGTTTTATACAACCGGCCCCAGGTCAATATTTATTAGAAATATTTCGTATAGAAATACAATATGAATTACATTACTGCAAACTCCTCGCCCCGATAATGAAGTAGTAAAAGTACTTGAGAAATTTCAGCTCTTTTAGCCCTATTGTTATCAGCGAGAAAGCTATAATTGTGGCGAATAAATTGTAGTTTTTGCGAATATTCAACAATTATTGGGTGAAGTTTTTGTTATATGCGGAATTATCAAGGTCGAGGTAAGCGTTATCAGCCGAGCCGAATTTATTATACATTTGTTTGTGTTAAATAGATTATAGATACCGCTTGCTAATCATCGCAGGCTCATTTGCAGATAACTCAGTTATCTGCTAGCAGATAACTCAATTTTCTGTATAAAAGGTTGCGTGATTGCGCAATTTAACTGTAAATTAACTGTAAGTTCTTTGCCAATCAAATTGCTTTTACCAACTACAATGTATAATAATTGATGTTATTATACATTGTAGTTGGTAAAAGCAATTTGATTGGCTAAGAGCTTACAGTTAAATCGCGCAATCACGCAACCTACAGAAAATTCAGTTATCTGCTAGCAGATAACTCAGTTATCTGCAAATGAGCCTGCGATGATTAGCAAGCGGTATCTATTTACAGTCAAATTGCAAGAACATTCCAGAACATTCCCACTTCCGCTTCTGTAACTTGTTTTGTATTTCTGTAATTTGTTCTATTTTCTGTAGCGTTTTTTATCGGCAAATATCGCCGTAGAATTCCCCTTTCTTTCCTTTATATACGTCAATTTGTAGCAAAGGATACACCTTTCGTTAGATTCTTTGCATAAAAGTTGTGAAATTTTCATTTTAGTACGTCAAATGATTGTATTCGGTAATTTTGAATTTGTATAGTATGAACACACTAGGCGGCGGTTTAAAACCGATTTATCAGCCAATATCGCTATAAGATCTAAGTTTCGCAACTTTTATGCAAGGAATCTAACGAAAGGTGTATCCATTGCTACAAATTGACGTATATAAAGGAAGGAAAGCGAAATTCTACCGGATCCTAACGCGACATGTGCCGATAAAGCGGTAATCGCTACAGAAAATAGAACAAATAAATACAAAACAAGTTACAGAAGCGGGAAGGTTCTTGTATTTTGACTGTAACACAAACAAATGTATAATAAAACAATTATTGAATTCGGTTTTTGCGATATGCAAAATTATCAAGGTCTCGGTAAGCGTTATCAGCCTCGCCTTCGGCTCGGCTGATAACGCTTACCTCGACCTTGATAATTCCGCATATCACAAAAACCTCATCCAATAATTGTTAATTATATGCCGCCGTAGCGAAGACGTTTCAAATTATGGTCGAGCAGTCTTTCTGGAAAAAATCAAACTTTTAGTTTAGAATACAAAATTCTAAACAAATGATTTTTAAAACCCAGTCGGTAAGTTTTTTTTAAATTTAGAGGTGAAACGAAGGCGTCTTTTGGAAAATATCGATTAGTTGTTTGGGCGCTAGATCATGAGTTATTTTATACATGAGACTTGCTGCAAATTGAATTCTGCGTTCTTTCAAAGTATTCCAATTTAGTTCATTTGAAAATTAAATAGTTGTTGAGCTCAACAGCCATGTAGCAACTTGTCAACATGCTGGGAATAAGCCAGTGCGAACACATCCTGTTGACAAGTTGTTGGAACAGAATTGCTTCAAGTCCGCTGCAGGTTTGTTACAAGATAAGATCAACTTTATTTAAACACATTAGCCTTTGTTTAAACAGATTAACCTTTATTTAAAAATATTATCCTTACCATGCACGTATTGCAAGCAAGCCCAATTTTTTTTTCTTTGGAAATTTGCAACGTATGTAAATTGTTTTAATTCCATGGCACTCAAACAGAATAAGCCATATCCCAGTGGGAAATCAAACCAATTAAAGCTGTCAAATTGCACCAATCAGAGTTGTTTCTTTGCACACTGCAACCAATCAGAGGAAGAGAATTTGCTAGGCAATCAGATTCGTATAGTCACATGCGAGCCAAGTTCGAAGTATGTAACTTGGAGCAGCGTGAAGACGCCCAGTTGTAGTCAAGTCTTGACAGAAGAAATTTGGATTGAAAGTTTAAGACGAATTCACAAAAACTCGAAAGAACTTATACAAGGATTTATCAAGACACTGCTCTCAAAGTACGTATATAAAGGTAATTTAGAGTAAGCGTTCAACTAAATGCACTAGCTTATCTATAGACATTTCAATACATTTTGTTGATATTTAATGGAACACATTAGCATAGCCGGTCGCCGGTTTTGTTCCAATTTTTAGCGATAAATCGCATCAATTGTGCTTCAATAATGACTTTTAATATTTCCAGGTAACTCATGTTTGTATTTTCTTTCGCTTTAGAACGAATTTGGGCGAGAAAAAGAAGGAAATTTTGACGATTCCTAGCCACGTGTTTATAGGTAGGCTACATATCGACAGCGAATATTTAAATAAGTGAACTTGTTTGTGCGAGTTTATTGCGTTTAATGGTGAGATAAAACGTTTAATGTTGAGATAAAACTTTGTGTGTAAACGTAAAGCATCCGAAGCTGCCGAAATCCTGTCTCCTTCGAAGAATTTTCATCGAATATTGCCCAAGAAAAGGGTGCCGCGCTGAACACGTATTCAAAATTGCTCGACTTTAAAATTCATTCCAGCAAAGAACATTTGCCATTTGGGAATACTATTTAAATTTTCTTGCAAATTTTAGCGATAAATCCCATCAATTGCACTTCAATAATGACTTTTAATGTTTCCAGGTAACTCATGTTTATATTCTTCTTTCGCTCTAGAACGAATTTGGGCGAGAAAAAGCAGGAAATTTTGACGATTCCTTGCCACGTGCTTAGGTACGTATCGACAGTGAATATTTTAATAATTGAACTTGTTTGTGCGAGTTTATTGCGTTTAATGTTGAGATAAAACGTTTGTGGGCAAACCTAAAGGATCCGAAGCTCGTGAAATCCTTTCTGGCCTGTCTCCTTTCGAATTTTTATCAAATTTTGCCCAAGAAGAGGGTTCAATTTGCCGCACTGAACGCATATCTTGGCAATTCGTTGCTCGACTTCAAAATTCATTAACTCCAGCGAAGAACATTTGCCATTCGGGAATACTATTTAAATTTTGCTGAATTGTCATGAGGATTTCCTTTCATTCTGAAGCAACAAATACCATTATAAGATGATTATGCAGCACGTTCGTTCGAAATTCCTGGTCTTTGCAGAACAATTTACCGCATCATTATTTTAGTAACGAACGCAATTTGGTGAGATTTAAGTTCAAACACAAAATTTTAAGACTATTAAACTTGTTCCAAAGTTGATCATATGTTACATTCGTTCTTTAGAACTGCTATAATAAAGTAGAACTCAGGTTGAAATAAACGTATCGCTATTGACAGGAGTGAGCATTTTATTTTTCGATTTTTGAAGCCGAGAAACTTGATGATTGTACTGAGAGTTGAAGACAAATTCGGAACAAAACTATTTCAAAATTCAAAATTAACTGTTTGAAGCCAGCTTTGAGGCTTGATTACATTGGTGGTTTAGAACATTTCTCAACAAGAATATTCATGTGCGTCTCTTCTCCGTGTGCTGATAATCACAAATTCACAAGGGCAAAAGGATTTGAGGAAAGGTTTTCACACAGACGTTATATCTCAACTTCCTTGATGCAACAGTCAACGTATCATGTACAGTTCTTGCGCCAGTCTCTTACCAAGTTTTTATTTCCTAAATTTTAGAAAGAATTCGCAATCTCGAGCGAAAGGTGCTAGGACTTAGGTCATTCTCTGAATGCGCGCAAATACGAAATAATTTTTAAAAAATTGCGAATGCCATTTTAAGGGCAAGAATTTTGATGAAAACGTGTAGGACTTCAGTGAAGTAAGGGCATGGAGATCATTTCATTATTGTGCATGGTTGACCTTCTGTGTAAAGTCTGAATGTTGTTGAAGTTTCAGCAGTGCTCTTGAAGTAGGAATCTCTGTGAACACTCCAGTGATTTCACAGCTCAGTTGCCCGCTCTGGAGCATGCGTGGAACATTCGACTGTGGTATTGATTTTCCCGGGTGTGAGTTGTGTGCGTGCGGGGATGGCGCCGTCCTCCCACGTACTTGTCCTCGGACCCAACTGACATGCGCGGAGAATCAACACCACAGCCGAATGTTCGGCGTATGCTTCGGTCCGACCAACTGAACTGTGAAGTCACTGGAGTGTTCACAAAGGCTTGTACTTCAGGAGCTCAGCTGAAACCTCCCCAGTATTGAGAGTTTGGGCAGAAAGTCAGTCGTGTACACTGATAGAATGATTGAAATAAACTTGCTTGGCTGAAGTCTTACTGGTTTGAGTCTTTCGAGATGTCCTTATTTTCGCATTTGCATTCGTTCCCAGACCTTGCTATAAGCTCACGGTCAACTTGTTAACAGACCTAGCTATATGGTGACGGTCAATTCGTTTCCAGACCTAGCTATATGCTCACGGTCAACACATTACCATGACCTAGCTATATGCTCATGGTCAACTCGTTATCAGACCTAGCTATATGCTCACGGTCAACTCGTTACCAGACCTTGCTATATGCTCACGGTCAGGTCGTCGCCGGACCTAGCTATATGCTCACGGTCAACTCGTTACCAGACCTTGCTATATGCTCACGGTCCAGTCCTATACTCGGTACAGGTATACGAGTTGCATCTTATTACAATTGACCTAAAGGGAACATTTTCGCTAGCTGTTTGGCATTTGATAACTAAAATTATTCACGAATTATTTGATGCTAGACATTGTACACTCTCCTGTTTAACTTCCTTGATTTTCCAGTTTTCGGATTACAGCCTACGTTTTTCCAACCCTAGTATTGAATTTCACTGTTTGTAAATACAACTGATTTACGGGCCCGTCTTTTGTATTTTCTGTATGTTTCAAACAATAGCTAGGCAAAATATTGGCTCTCTGAGCGTTAAAAAAAACATAGAAGTGAGACAATTACTACTGCAAGGAGTTTACAGTGGAGTGTTATCTTGTCTGCATCGGTTTCAAATAAAAAAACATGCAAGCATTCATGAATTTCTGGCTTGCATTTACTTAAAAATATAATTCTCAGATGTATTTTTATGCAAGTGATGACACATGAAATGATGATACTCGATTCCAATATTTGAACAAAAATGTGAGAATTTTGTATTTGCGCACTGAAAGGGAATACCTTAATAAAACAATATATGTTCTTCATGGTCTAAAGACGCAGCGACGCAAAGCTGCAAACAGACGTAAGCTATAACAAAGATAACATAGACAGACACAAAAAGAAATCGAGACTGCTTACTGTACATTGAAGTTTTTACATATCATCAACCAAGCTCTCCTAATCTGGTACGAATATGTCCAACAACAAAAACGTCATCAATGGTATGAAGATAGAATGATGAATGAAGCTGTGAACAGTGGAAAAATGGGTCGTGGACAACATGACACGGAAGAACTAAGACAGACTATTGAAGTTTCTTATATCATTAACTGAACCGTTCTGAATCGATAGAGGTAATAAGCCGAGTTAACTCGTGTTCTCTACTTTGACCGGACTTTAGTTGCAAATATTAAGCCGGACCATACTGGTCAACTCGCAATATCAGCTGATCTCCCTACTGGATGGACCTGCAACATTTGAAGGCGGATTTTCTTGGATCAACGTGTACTACAAACCGGATTATGCTGGATTTATCAACGATTTCAATTTGATGATTAATGGAGCTCCCCTACCTACATCGAGATACGACGACATAAATACATCACGGGCTGTAAAGATGCGACGAAAGATGAAGAGGAAGTCTAACAACTTTCAGGTTCATACTATAGGTACTATAGGTACTGTAGTTCAATCTCGTGTCCAGAACTCGTAGACAAGTAGTGCATGACTAATATAGGTTGTTCTGGATTCGAGATCTCCTGGTGGTCTCCGTCGAAAGTATTGCACATTTGAGTCATTTTACCCTTTTGGTTGTGAAAATGTTAATTTTTTTGTATCTGTGGAAATATTCGTATACTGTTGAGCAAATATTCAGCTCTAATCCTTTGCAGCGCGTAAGCCAAACGATGTTGCAGAAAGTCTGCATTGGTGAGAACAGTAGTTTATCTTTTCGTTGTCGTTACTTGAAAAAATTTCCCTTCGGTTGTTACTCGTGTGTAAATACAAACGACGGCGCGCGTAAGATGGTCAGTGCATGACGTCTCGAAACGTTAGGTTTAACAGAGTAGGTGCATGATCCACCGCAAAGTGAAGCATAATCTAGATTCATGGTTTTGTGCATGTTGCATGATTAAAAGATTACTTTCACGTTTCGAGATAAGGCGCAAAAGGATTGCATTTTCTACTTTTCTTTGCGCGAAAAATAAAATAAACAATTTGATTGGGTAGCGACAGAAATTTGCGACGAAAAAGTGAGATTGATTTCAACTTTTTCACGGCGAATTTTATCACCAATCAATCGTGTTGCTTTTCGTTTGCGAAAATATCGCCCAGCAGAAAACAGGTTCAATATGCTCAAGCGTATTTCGACCGCGCATAGAGATTGACGTTCAGTTTCCGAGTTGGAAGTCGACGGTAATTCTTTAAAAGCGGCCGTGCGAATGTTTTTAGGCCACCAGGACCGTCTGGTCAAACGCAAGCAATATTAGCTGCACTTTTTCGAGGATGAAATTGTTTTGTAAAAATATTCGCAATTTACATGGCTATTCTTGCGGTTGGTCAGACGAATATTATCATAGAGTGCGCTTTCGGTCAACTTTGCTCCAAAACATATTTTCACTTGGGATATCTAATCTGAAACTGTCTAGGAGTACAAGTTATACGCCGTGAACAGCAAACATCTTCAATTTGAAAAAAGTGCTGTTGGCGCCAAGTGCCATATTCCGCCGGGTTAATTCTGCCCCCAATGGGATTTTCGTTCGATATACGAGTTCTCTATATGGAGTGTGTCTCTGGGGTCATAGCGCACTGTTGGTTAAAGATTTTTCATTTGTAAAAATCTTTTCCGGAGTGGAGTTCGCACGGTCTGAATTAGGTGGACTTGCAACGAGACAATGAAAAACGACAACCATATATCGTCCTAATATTTCGGCCGACAACCACATTAGTGCATGATTTTCGATCATTCAGACCGTTAAAGCAATCGTCGACTGCGCACGCAAACATCAGGAAGAAAGCAATGTAAAGCGGTGTAACTTAAAGCTGCTGGATCAGCAGCGACGGAAATTTGAATGGTGATCCGGTTGAAATACGCAAACGCAGAGCTTTCAGATTCGTATGGCACTTAACCTTCAATTTATTTTGATTCTGAAGAAACATAGATTGTGTTATAACTTTAGAATGAAATTTGTTGAAGTTACATGCGCGCAAGAACGACATTTATAAAATGTTTGTTCTTTAAAAGGATTAAATGGGAGCAGACCGACATTTTTTACATAACTGACGTTGCGCGCTTCCTCCCATTTAAGCCTTCAAAATTATGGCGATTCTTCCGACGTGTTTTTTTTTTCCGAATTGCGGAGGTATGTATATTTATATTTTAATCAAGGGTAGTTTGTAAATAGATGGGGGCCCATTCGGACTTAAGTGCCCATTTCGGACATTT